TTCTTTGCTTTATCATTATCCCCAAAAAGAAAAGAAAGTTGGTTTGTGTCGACCAAAACTAGCAGGACCACCATACTATCTAAGGTCAAAAGGAAAGATGTCAGCCGCAGAAGACGCAACAGAACATGCTCTTGTCATAGACGACAGTCGGAGGCGATCAGGAGAAAAAGACAACACTAGGAATTATGAACATGTGGCCAGGATGGCCCAGGAAATTGAGTCCATAAGGGAGGAGGTGCAACATATCAAAGAACTGGCGCACCTGGCCGTGACAACACTTCCTCAACCACCTCGATTCCCTTCTTTGGATTCACTCCCTGACCACTTTCCTTCCACATCACACCAAAACAACAACATCCCAACTTCAACTCCTACCACTCAAGTCATACATCTAGTAACCCCCGATAACCCACCAAATCCCCCTATCCACACTCCTTACATACCACAATACACTTAGACATCACAAAAACCCATCTATTACCACTAATGCAACTACCCCTCCTCGTGACAGAGTCACTTTTATTACTAACCAGCACATACTTGTGGCACATGCCGCCACCCATGAGCAGTACGTTCCCCCTATATATTCCATTTCTAAGCCTACCTTTACAACACATGTCACGGTCAGGGTGCCTTATGAAATTGACCAATATGCCAAAATGGAGAGAGAAGCTAGGCATAAGGAAGAATAGTATCTAAGTAGTTGCAAATGTTGAGAAGGCAAATGAGGAGCCTCCAAGTTGCCTGGGGGAGTGAAAGTTTGGACTACGAGGCTCTGTGTATTCATCCAGATGTGGATATGCTAGCAGGATACAAACCCCCAAAGTTCGATATCTTCGATGGGACGGGGGACCCTCACGCACATTTGAGGGTATATTGTGACAAGTTAGTCGGAGTGGGGAGGAATGAAAAGCTAAGGATGAAGTTATTTATAAGAAGTTTGACGGGAGAATCACCCAACTGGTATACTCGACATGATCCGTGAAATTGGAGAACATGGCAAGATATGGCGGAGGAATTCATGAACCGTTTTCGATTCAATACAGAGATCACTCCTGATTGGTTCGCACTGGTGAACCTGTAGAAAAAACCATATGAGTCATTCCAAGAATATGCATGATGGTGGAGATCGGAGGCCACCAGGGCGCATACTCCATTGGACGACAATGAACTAACCAAGTATTTCATCATAGCCCAGGAGGAAATATACTTTGAAAACATGATGGGAATGATGGGACAGAAGTTCCCCGAGCTGGCCAAGATGGGAGATTGCTTAGAAGAGGGCATACAATCGGGTAAAGTACAATGCATGGCAGCACTACAAGGGGGCCAGCAAGGCCATCCAGTCAGGGTCAATCGGTAGCGGAAAGAAGAAGAAAGAGGAGGTCTCAGCAGTCATCCCTTACTACAAACCCAACCCACATCACGGGAGCACCTCTTATTCCTCAAACAACCATTCACCACCACCCACTTACGCTCTAGTCTATGATATCTAGCCATATTACCACCCTCAACCACAATACAACCCTCCTCAAGCCAACAACAACCAATACCTACAACGACCATATGCTCCTATCAAACCACTACTCATCAAAACCGACCTGTTTATGCACCACGCCCTCGTCCCAACTTTGAATAAAGGGGTCCTAGAACTTATACCCCAATTGCTGAGCCTCTGGCCCAATTGTTCGAGAGATTGAGAAGAGCAGGGTCGATACACCCAATCAAAGGAAGGGTTCCTAGACATCCCTCCAAGTATTTTGATGCCACTAAAAGATGCGTGTACTATTCCAATGTACCTGGGCATGATACCAAAAACTATTTTAAGTTGAAAAATAAAATTGAAACCCTAATCAAGAGCGGAGCCATTCAATGCACTCTGGCGCCACTCAATATCAAACGCAATCCACTGCCAAACCATCGAAATCAAGGAGCTAACATGATCGCATTGGATGAAGAGTATGACCTGAAGGGAACGATTATCACTATAGGAAATGCATAATCTGCCAAGATCCCTCCCCAAAAGGCTCCGATTATTACAGTACAACTGAGGCCTACGGTGACGGTTCAGACTTATCCACAGTAACCTACTGCTGTTACAGGAGACAGAGAAGGTTGGGAGCACAAAACCATCCCATGGACATACCGGCAAAATAGAAAGGTCAAAATGATAGACTCCGCTGCAGCCCATGGTATGACTAGGTCTATGAGATGCTACGCTCCAGAAGATGTCAATCGAGAAAACCCGGGAAGAGAACAAATTCCAAGAAGAAACATAACAGACCTAGAAGCCGATGAGTTTTGGAAAAGAATGTCAAGCAAAGAGTATTCTGTGGAGGAGCAGCTGAAGAAAACCCCAGCACAGATATTAATCATGGATCTATTAATGATCTCTGACAATCATAAAGACACCATATTGAAAGTAATAAGTGGGGTAAGTGTACCAAATAACAGCACTAGTGAGGCGTTGCGACAATTGGGTCGAAGAAAACATGATCACTTTCAGAAGAGACAAACTCCCTGTCGAAGGCGCAAGTCATAACAAGGCTCTTCACATTACTGTCAAATGCGGGGACAAAGTGGTGTCAAGGGTGTTGGTCGATGGAATATCAGGAGTCAATATTTGTCCGCTCTCCACCCTACGAGAACTAGGAATTCATTTGAGGGAAGTCATGAAAAGCCACGTAAGGGTGAGAGCCTTTGATGGTTCGCAAAAAGATGTTATCGAAGAAATTTATCTAGCCTTGCAAATCAAACCGGTCGATATTTCGGTGTTGTTTCAAGTAATGGACATCTCCTCTTCCTATAACTTGCTACTGAGCAAGCCCTGGATACATATGGAAGGGGCCGTGCCATCCACTTTGCACCAATGCATAAAATTTAAGTGGGGTTGCCAGGAGATCGTGGTTCATGGCGAATGGGGTCCCTCCGCCTATTTGGAGTATGTTGTTCCATTTATTGAAGGGATGGACAGAGTTGCCTTCCACTCTATGAAAATCATCATGCTACTAAGATGGAGAAGACTGAACAAAGCTTGGGGATGCAGTCGCCGTATAGATCCAAGATGGCTATGAGGGAGATGATGAAATATGGATACAGGCTAAGAACAGGGTTGGGATCCAAGTCAGATAGAATCACAGAGACAATTGAACATAATGGGCAAAAAGGAAGGGCTGGCATATGATATCAGCCTCCGAAAGGGAAAGCTCTCACTGTTAGCTCCGGGAATAAGGTTTTTGTGCCAGAGCATGTTGCAAGTCCTGGACAGAGTTCAAGACCCGAAGATGATATCATCGACGGGATAGGAAAGCTATTCGTAAATATGATTGAAGAATACTGTGAAGGGACTGACATCAAGACACCGACTATTAGGGATGCCGAACCAGTAGAAGTGTTGCAGAATTAGACCGCTAGTCCATCTTTGGTTCGCCGAGAGTCTTGGTATTATGGAATTGTAAAAGTTTTCTTTTGAAAAGTGCACAGTCAATGGAGGCCTGTACTGTGTCTATACCTTTTTGCTATTTTCCTCTTGTGAATGCTTAAGACGTTCTCCTTTTGATGAAATAAAAGAATCGTTTTCTTAAATATTGCAACTTTATTTACCGCTTTATTTATACTTAGATTTTCTTTTCAGTAATCAAACTGCTAAAAAACTACGTTCCACGATTATGGCACATAACAAAATCGTTAAGCGCAATGACCCAGATTACGAGGAGTGTGACGAGAGCATGATGCCTAACAATATCCCGCAGGAGATCGAGCAGTTGGAAAGTCAGAAAAAGCCCAACCTCGAAGAAACAAAAGTGGTCAATCTTGGAAGTGAAGAAGATGTAAAAGAAACCAGAATCAACATTCACCTAGAAGCCGAGCAGAAGGAAAAAATGGTTGAGCTCCTCCGACAGTATGTCGATGTGTTCGCATGGTCCTATGATGACATGCCAAGATTAATCACCGACATTGTCTTGCATCGACTGCCCACCGATCCTACTAGACCACCGGTCAAGCAGAAACTCAAAAAATTCAAACCAAATTTAAGTCTGAGGATAAAAGAAGAGGTGACCAAACAGATAGAAGCAAATGTGGTAAGGGTCACCAATTATCCAAGCTGGTTAGCAAACATCGACCTAGTACCCAAGAAGGATGGAAAGATCAGAATCTGTGTGATCTACCGAGATCTCAACAAAGATAGTCTAAAGGACAATTTCCCTCTGCCGAATATCCACATTCTCCTTGACAACTGTGCAAAGCATGAACTGCAGTCGTTTGTGGATTGTTTCGTGGGATACCATCAAATCTTAATCCACGAGAAAGATGCAGAGAAGATGGCTTTCACCACACCTTGGGGAGTCTACTCTTATAGAGTTATGACATCCGGTCTCAAGAACGCTAATGCCACCTACATGAGGGCCATGACGACCCTCTTTCACGATATGATTCACAAGGAGATTGAAGTGTATGTGGATGACATCATCATAAAATATCGAAGGAAATCGGAGCACTTGGACGACTTGAGGAAATTTTTCGAACGCCTGTGAAGGTACAGTTTGAAGTTGAACCCAGCAAAGTGCGCGTTCGGAGTCCCTACTAGAAAACTATATGGCTTTATTGTAAGCAGGAAGGGGATAGAACTGGACACATAAAAAAATCAAGTACATTCAGGAATTACCACCACCAGAGAGCAAAAAAGATGTCATGAGTTTCCTGGGTAGATTGAATTACATCAGTCATTTCATAGCCCAATCCACAGTAATATGCGAGCCCATTTTTTAGCTGTTAAAGAAGGATGCTGCCGCAAAATGGACGGAGGGGTGCCAACAAGCCTTTGACAGAATCAAAGAATATCTCTCAAACCCGCCAGTGTTGGTTCCCCCCGAACCAGGGAAACCATTGTTGCTCTATTTGTCAGTCTTGGACAATGCCTTCGGCTGTGTGTTGTGGCAACACGACAAAACTGGGAGGAAGGAACAGGTCATCTACTACTTGAGTAAGAAGTTCACGCCATGCGAGGCCAAGTATACCCTGATAGAATTCACTTGTTATGCTCTAACTTGGATTGCTCAGAAGCTAAGGATTACATGTCAGCGTACACCACACATCTGAAATCTAGGCTCGATCCGCTCAAGTACATTTTTCAGAAGCCAATGCATACGGGAAAGCTAACTAAATGGAAAATTCTCCTCAGCGAATTTGACATTGTGTACATAACTCAGAAGGCTATCAAAGGACAAGCTTTAGCTGACTACCTTATCGAGAATCCAGCAGATGGGGATTACGAACCGCTTACCACGTATTTCCCCGATGAAGATGTACTATTTGTCGGAGAAGATATTGCAGAATCATACCCTGGATGGAGAATGTTTTTCAATGGAGCAGCAAATTTCAAAGGAGTCAGAATTAGGGCAGTCCTAATTTCGGAATCTGAACAGCATTACTCAGCATCGGCGAAGATAAGATCCCCTTGCACCAATAATATGGCTGAATACGAAGCGTGCATCCTTGGAATCAAAATGGCAGTCGACATGAACATCAAAGAGCTTTTGGCCATAAGAGATTCCGATTTGCTGATACACCAAGTCCAAGGGGAATGGTCCACCAAGAATGTCAAGATACTTTAATACCTACACTGCGTGAAGGAGCTGTGAAATAAGTTCACAAAGATTGAGTTCAAGCACGTCTCCAGGATTCAAAACGAGTTCGTCAACGCCCTTGCAACCCTATCATCTATGATTCAGTATCCAGACAAGAATTACATCGACCCTATTGAGGTAGAGATCAGGTATCAACATGCCTATTGCTTCCATGTAGTTGAAGAACTAGATGGTAAACCATGGTATCACGACATCAAGAGATTCCTTGCGACTAGAGAGTACCCAGAGAATGCTACTAATGGTCAAAATAGGGCACTCAGGAGGCTAGCAAACCATTTTCTCCTCAACGAGGAAGTCTTGTACAGGAGGACCCCAGACTTAGGTTTGTTGAGATGTGTAGACGCCGCCGAAGAAACCAGATTACTAGAGGAAATATATGCAGGGACATGCGGACCCCACATAAAAGGGTTCACATTAGCCAAGAAGATTTTGAGAGCTGGATATTTTTGGATGATTATGGAAAGCGACAACATCCGCTACATGCAGAAGTGTTACCAGTGCCAGATTCACGGGGATTTCATCCGGGTTCCACCAAATGAGCTAAATGTAGTGGGTTCACCTTGGTCGGTCGCCGCTTGGGGTATGGACATAATTGCGCCTATAGAGCCTGCAGCATCAAACGGACATCATTTTATTTTGGTAGTTATCGACTACTTCACCAAATGGGTCGAGGTATCTACTTACAAGGCCATCATAAAGAAGGTAGTGGCAGATTTTTTTCTAAAATAACATCATCTACAGATTTGGGATACCAGAGTCTATCATCACTAACAATGCCGCTAACCTCAACAGCGACCTCATGAGAGAAATCTGCGAGAAGTTCAGAATCGTCACCACAATTCCACAGCCTACAGATCACAAATGAATGGGGCAGTCGGGGCCGCCAATAAGAATGTTAAGAGGATTCTGAAAAAGATAGTGGACAATCAGAGATAATGGCGCGAGAAACTACCTTTCGCTTTACTAGGTTATCGGACTACCATGAGAACATCCACTGGGGCAATGCCGTACATGTTGGTATACGGCACTAAAGCGATGATACCCATAGAGGTCGAGATACCGTCATTAAGAGTCATTCAAGAGGCAAAATTAGATGACACAAAGTGGATACGGGTCAGGCAGGAACACAACATGCTCATTGATGAGAAAAGAATGGATGCAGTATGTCATGGTCAGCAATAACAGAACAGGATGGCCAGTGCATTTAACAAGAGAGTGAAGCCTCGCCAATTTACACTGGGGTAGTTGATTCTGAAGAAAAACTTTCCCCATCAAGAAGAAGCCAAAGGAAAGTTCGCACCAAATTGGCAAAGTCCTTACGTGGTTCACCGAGCACTGTCGAGTGGATATCTAATCTTGGTAGAGATGGATGGAATATTAAACACGAAGCCTATCAACTCATACGCAATCAAGAGATACTATGTCTGAAGACAAATAGAGTTATGTTTTTTGATGTAACAGAACTACGTTCAACCTAAATTCCTACGGAGGGATACGTAGGCAACCCACGTAGGGTTCGGTTTCTCTCCCTCCTTTCTCTTGTAATAAAAAAACCAAATATCAATTTTGTATGTTGCTCAGGAACTACGTCGACTTCATTTTCTTAGAAAGGAATACGTAGGCAATCCTCATCGAATTCAGTCATCTTTTGTAATTAAACTACATTCTGGCCTGATTCCACTTGGATACGTAGGCTGTCTGAGTCAGACTCAACCATTTTCATTCTTAATCTCATCATTTTGCATCTATTGTTATCGAACTACACTTTGAACTGATTCCATTTGGATACGTAGGCTGCCCGAGTCAGGCTCGGTCATCTTCATCATATTTTATCATAACCCACTGTAATGACCCGACCGGTCATTTTGAGAGTAATAGCCCCGATCCCCTGTTTACTGTTTTCCCCATACCTTTTTCTGCTTATGTGACTTACCGGGAGGTTGTCGTTGTGGTTTCGGAGTGTTTTGGGACACTTAGTCCCTAAATGGAAGCTTAAGTCTTAGGATTTTGACCGTAGTTGGAACTACATGAAGATGACTCCAAATGGAGTTTCATTGGTTCCGTTAGCTCCGTTGGGTGATTTTGGACTTAAGGGCGTGTCCGGACTGTGAATTGGAGGTATGTAGCTAATTTAGGCTTGAAATAGCAAAAAGTCAAATTTTTGGAGATTTTGACCGGAAGAGGACTTTTTGATATCGGGGTCGGATTCCGATTCCGGAAGTTGTAGTAGGTCTGTAATGTTGAATATGATTTGTGTGCAAAATTTGAGGTCAAACGGACGTGGTTTGATAGGTTTCGGCATCAGATGTAGAAATTTGAAGTTTCAAGTTCTTTAAGTTTGGATTGGAGGATGATCCGTGTTTTGCCATTATTTGATGTGATTTGAAGGCTCGACAAAGTTTGTATGGTATTTTAGGACTTGTTGGTATGTTTGGTAGATGTCCCGGGGGACTCGGGTGTGTTTCGGGGTGAGTTTTGAGCGAGTCCAGACATTTCAGCACTCTAATGTTGTTCTGGAAAGTTGGAAGTGCGAATCGCACAATTCCATGTGCTGAGGCACATTTTTGAGTGTTGTAGTAGATGAAAAAGTGCTTCAGCAGACGAAAGAGTGCAGACCACAGAGTAAAAGTGCGGACCGCACAGTTTTGTCGGCGGCCGCACTTCTGGTGATTTCCACAGGTTCGCTCGTCCGACTTCAAAAGCTTATATCTTTTGATCTACAAAGAATTTGGAGATGATTCGAAAAATGAAAATTGTAGCACTTCATGTCCAGTTTCCAGAAAAGTAAATAACCTCCATTTAGACATTTGTAGAGAAATTTATGGCCAATTTACTGATGCCTAGTAGTGGAGAGGCTGTGAAGTGCGACCACACAATTTGTTTGCGACTGCAGAAGCTAGGATGTGCGACCGCACTTGGAATTGTGCGGACCGCACATTGTGAGGTCAGATTGGATACTATATAACTAAGGTTTTGGGTATTATTTCATTTTTTGACTTTGGGAGGTCGGTTTGAGACGATGTTTCGTGGGTTTTTCAAGAAATTCATCGGGGTAAGTGATTCTAACTCGGATTTGGTTAATATACATGAATATATCACTGATTTCATCATTTAATTAGTACTTTGAGATGGAAATTTTGGTAAAAAAATTGTAGAAACTTCATAAACTATAAATTGGGGATTTGAAGGTCGAGTTGTGATCGAAATTGGCTAATTTTGGTATGGTTGGACTCGTGAGTGAATGGGTGTTCATATTTTATGACTTTTACCCGATTCCGAGACGTGGGACCGGGGAGACTTTTTGGGGCGATTTTCTAATTTCTTGCCTTAGCTTTGATTTCATTAATTATATTAGTTTCTTATAGTTATATTTATGATATGTAATTGATTTTGGCTAGATTTGGGCCATTCGAAGTCGGATAGTCGTGGAAAAAGCATTGTTACGGATTGATTTGAGCTTGGTTTGAGGTAAGTGGCTTGCCTAACCTTGTGGGGGGGGGGATCCCCTTAGGATTTGGTACTGTTGTTATATGTGAGCGCCGTGTACGTGAGGTGACGAGTACGTACACAGGCTATTTTTTGTAAAACCCGATTTATTTTACTGACTTCTAATATGTTTTTCCTTTAAATTGAATTATACCGTTTAAATGAGTATTAGCCTGTTTTTCATTCTTAATTGAGGTATTTCAATATGTATAGCTATCCTGTTTAGTCTAATATCACATGTCTATGTGCTTTAATTGCTTTTGAACTCTGTGAAGCATGCCTAGTTGATTTCCTGCTTTTCCTTGTTCTTTATCAGTATAACTATAGAAATCTTGCTATTAACTGTTGTATTACCGGTTTGAGCTGTGTATTTACTTTTGAGACTACTAGGCGGTTCCTCGGGAGTTCTCTCTGCATATTTACTTTTGAGACTACGAGGCGGTTCCTCGGGAGTTCTCCCTGCATACTTATTTTTGAGACTACGAGGCAGTTCCTCGGGAGTTCTCCCTGCACATTTACTTTTGAGACTACGAGGTGGTACCTTGGGAGTTCTCCCTGTACATTTACTTTTGAGACTACGAGAGGGTTCCTCGGGAGATCTCCCTGCACATTTACTTTTGGGACTACGAGACGGTATCTCGGGAGCGCTCTGTTGTTATCACATTATTCTTGTGTTGTTGTTTCTCTGTGAATTGATGTTGTTAAATTCTCCATTTTACTTCATTTTATTTTATCATTTGTCTTATTATTATATCCCAGTAGGGCCCGGACCTGACCTCATCACTACTCTACCGAGTTTAGGCTTGGCACTTACTGGGTACCGTTGTGGTGTACTCATGCTACTCTTCTGCACATGTTTTGTGTGTAGATACATGTAACTTTTATCTGCCTCACTACTAGCTGAGAGTGCTTGTTGTTGTATGGAGACTTCAAGGTATATCTGCCACATCATCAGACCTCGGAGTCCCCCTCTATTCCCTCATATATCATTTACCTTCCTTACTACTTTTCATTAGACTCCGGTGTATAGAGATACTAGTTTCCTCCTGTAGCTTGTGACTTATGATGTTCCGAGTTTTGGGAATACTGCGTATTATTAGAGTGTTGGTTGTTGTAAATGCCAAGAGGCATTGTTATCAGTTATTTAGTTATTTGTTATAGTTAGTTGTTAAGTTTTGCTTCCATTTTTGTTATTTCCGCATCTTTGTTAGGCTTACCTAGTCGTAGAGACTATGTGCCATCACGACATCTTACGGAGGGAGAATTGGGTTGTGACAAGTTATTATTAGAGCCCTAGGTTCATAGGTGTCATGAGTCACAAGCAAGTTTAGTAGAGTCTCGCGGATCAGTACAGAGACATTTGTATTTATCTTTGGGAGGCTATGAAACTGTTAGGAAACATTTCACTTCTTTGATTCCTTATCGTGCGAAATTGTTGACATCAAAAATTCTAAACTTCTATATTCTATTATTTCTCACAGATGGTGAGGACCCATACCGTAGGATCTGATGACCAGGCACCCGCGCCCCCTGCTAGAGCCGCGAGAGGCCGGGGCCGGGGTAGAGGCCGAGGACGTCCAAGCGGTGCAGCCAAAGCACCCGCATGAGCTACTACAGAGGAGCCCCTAGTAGCTCCAGCTGGAGGGCAGATACTTGAGATACCTGTTGCTACACCAGCCCTCTAGGAGACTCTAGCCCAGTTTCTGAGCATGTTCAGCACGTTAGCTCAGGCTGGATTGATTCCACTTGCTCCTGCCACATCTCAGGCTGGGGGAGGAGCATAGACTCCTGTCACCGATACTTCAAAGAAACGGGTTCAGGCTGACCAGGTTCCAGAGATTATACTGATGCAACCGGTAGCTCTGGTTCATCACGAGACTAGGACAGCCGCTTCTGAGGCGGAGCAGCTTAGACTTGAGAGGTATAAGAAGTACCACCCACCTACCTTCAGCGGATTGGCTATAGATGATGCTTAGGGTTTTCTGGAGGAGTGTCATTATATTCTCTGTACTATGGGCGTAGCGGAGATGAGTGGGGTTTCTTTTACCACCTTCCATCTTAGAGGAGCAGCCTATCAGTGGTCGCGTGCTTATGAGTTGGAAAGTCCGGCTGAGGCAGCTTCACTTACATGGAATCAGTTCTCGGACATATTTTTGAGAGAGTATGTCCCTCAAAGCTTCAGGGACTCATGGCGCGCGGAGTTTGAGCAGATACACCAGGGTGCTATGACTGTGTCAGAGTATGCAATTCGTTTTAGTGATTTGGCCCGACATGCACCGGCCTTGGTTGCCACAGTTCGAGAGAGGGTTCGTCGGTTTATTGAGGGACTCCACCCCGGTATCCGGATTAGTATGGCCGGAGAGTTAGAGATAGATATTTCTTATCGGCAGGTTATGAGTATTGCTAGGAGATTGGAGGGCATGCTTTCCCGGGATAGAGAGGAGAGGGAG